GGATGTCTGACAAATGGCAGGAGGTTTAAGTGGTTTAATTAGTCACAGCTAATTTTGTGCTGGCCTGCTACAGAGGCGGAGAAATTAACAAGTATTAAAGACATCTGATGTGCAAGGTATGGTAATAAGTGCTTCATATAGATTATTTTCATTTAATTCCTGTATTATCTATAACATCTCTGTAAGGTAGGTAGTAGTTATCCCAGTTATATACAATAAGGTATTTTAGATTTAGAAAACTTCCTAGTCCAAGATCACGTAGCCAGTAAGAGACAGAGCAGATGTTTTAGCACATCTTTCTATATTGAAACATAATTTCAGTGCTAGGATATGGTGGCAGCCAGCTTGAGATGGGGAGTGGATCTAGAACCAGAGGAGTCAGACAGTCATTTGAAGGTCTTGGTTAAAGTATCAATTGAAAAAGTAGGGAGTGTACTTCTCTTCATACTCCACGGGGATATATCAGAGTTAACCCTTGCCAAAGTGAGAAGATAGTCCTGAACTTGGGATAAAGAGCACTGACTGGATGCAGTAACTGCACGTCAGGAACCCAAACTCTGAAGTACTGATTTACTGGGACAAGGCATAAATACATGTATAGTAAGGCAGTGTGACCTAGACCATGGCAGATTATCAATTACATGCATATTTGTATATATGAAATACATATATGTAGGACTGAGGATGTACTTAGTAGTAGAGTGCTTACTTAGCCTATTAAGGTCCTGGGTTTGGTCCTCAGTACCACAAACAAAGGAAGAGAGAGAGAGAGAACATTTCCAAAAATGTTAACGATGACTTTTATTCTATGTTTTCTGGATTTTCAGTAGTGAACAAATACTGCTTGTGCATTTGTTTTCAAAGACATTTTATTATTAAAACATCAAAGACTCACTTGGTACTGTGGTGTACACTTATAATCCAGCTACTTGCAGAAGCAATCTGAATGTTTTTTTTTTTTTTTTTTTTGCCAAACCCATTACCTCTTTTTCTCCTTGTCCAAGAATTCACTATCATTAATTCTTTTTTTTTTTGCGGAGGGGTGATGGTGGTACCGAGGATTGAACTCAGGAGCACTCAACCACTGAGCCACATCCCCAGTCCCTTTTTGTACTTTATATTTAGAGACAGGGTCTCATTGAGTTGCTTAGTGCCTCACTTTTACTGAGACCAGCTTTGAACTTTGTGATCCTCCTGCCTCAGCCTCCCAAGCTGCTGGGATAACAGGCATGCACCACCACGTCCAGCCATGAATTCTTTGGTAATCACCTCCTATTTTTTCTTGCAGTTTTATCATCCAGTTTGCTTTCATTAACACATAGTTTAGCACTGTCTGCCTGTAGCTTGTGTATGTTTGTGTGTGGGGGGTGTATTTTAGGTTTCTTTTAATCTGTAGGTTCTCTTTTACCTCTTTGTTCTCCATATCCTCTTACTCTCTATTTGTTGAAGAAGCTATTCCATTTTTCTTCTGGTTGTTCTCAGTTGGGATTCTGTTGATTTATTTCCATGATGTACTTAAAATTTTCCTCTGTCTTTTGTATTTCCAGATAATTAGTCATTGAATCTAAAGGTTTAATCAGTTTCAAAATTGATACTTGGAGGAAAGTCTCCTTCCTAAAGGATATTGTACTCTTTTGAGGGGTGAGCATGAGGGATTGAACTCAGAGACATTTTACCACTGAGCCACATCCCCAACCCTTTTTATATTTTATTTAAGACAGGTTCTCACTAAGTTGCTTAGGGTCTTGCTAAGTTGCTGAGGCTGGCTCTGAACTTGCAGTCCTCCTGCCTCAGCCTCCTGAGTCACTAGGATTACAGGTGTGGTGTACCTGGTGGGTATTGTATTCTTTATTAAAGAGCATATAAGGTTTAATTGATTCTCTTTTTCTTTGTTGAAACACCATTGCTGTACAATCATATATATCCCTAATTCACCATTGTACATTGGTGATATTTCAATTCTGTAATTCCTTCTTCATTTATATTCTAAAGAGAAATGTTCAACTTGCAATAAATAGTGGTGAGAAGTTCATATAGGACAAGCAGGATAAATGCCTGAACCTATCAGTTTTCAAAGTAAAGTTGGTTCCTTCACCATTCTTCATAAATAACCAATTAAGTTTTAAAAATATACATATAAATTTGAAGGCATAGATTTAAACATATTTGACACACTTATATTCATTGAAGATATCATCTTTAGTGATTCCATCTTTGGGTAGTGAACTCCCTTCAGACTGGTTCATATGTCCTTTTAACATAATACTGATAGTCCTTGATAACTTACTTGCCAGCTACTATGATGAGTAGTAGCTGATAAGTATGATAAGATGTTTCAGGCACAAATTTTGTACAATTCCTGTCCCAGACCTGGACTTAGTCTTTTCTCTATTAAGTTCTGTGTTTTTTATTTGCATTGTAAATAGTATTTCAGCACCACAATCTGCATGCTAGGAATGATCATTGCTACTGTTTTGGTCATTGCTTCTAGATCTCTCCAGTGGACAGCTAGGAAATTCTCTATCATGTGGGGTGTGTGTGTGTGTGTGTGTGTGTGTATAGTCATGTGTCAATTAACAACAGGGCTGCATTCTGAGAAGTGTATCATTGGACAATTTTATCATTGTGCATACATCATAAATTTATACAAACCTTGGTGGTATAGCCTATTACTCATCTAGAGTATATATACTATCATGTATGTGGTTCCTCATTAACCGAACATCTTTATGTGGTACATTGATTGTATATACATATATGTATACATATATATGCTTTATTCCATATTCTATAGAAGATATTCAGAAAATATCAACATTTTCACCTAAATGATTACTGAAATTTATATGTGTATCATATGTGTATATATGTGTGTGTACATATATATATATATACACACACACATATACATATACACATATAAGCACACACAAATATCCGTCTACAAATATTCTGGGCTCTAAGTAGAGAAGCCATTAGTGAGATGGTTGTTTTAAGTAAGTATTCCCAGCAGAGGTTTATTTTATTTTATGTAGTGGTAGAGTCAGTGCATGGCTAGCATAGAGCCTATAGGTCTGAGTACTTATGCATCATCCACTGGAAGAGAAGAATGGAGGAGAGCAAAGATCTAACCTACAAAGCTTGTTGTAGTAAACAGAATGCCTAATGAGAGCAAGGTGTTAAACTAGATGCCTGACATATGTACCCTTACACCGTGCAAGATAGGCAGTGAAGATAACTATACAATTGAAGTACAAATTATTAGCAACTTCAAAATAAGGGCATAGGTATTACTTGAGGAGTATCTTAAGCAAATCAGTTGGCATGTTCTTTGTTAGCTGATGATTCCTTAAAAGCTAATAGCAAAACCCAATGTGTGGTGATTGGGAACAAGAATGAGTGCAAAGAGGAGACTGAAAAGCTGATGGAATGGAGTAGAGAGTGGAAGCTGCATATAAAGGAGTCAACCAGGAAGGGTGCAGAGTTCTCAGTATTCACATGGCTACTAAGAAGATTAGAGGGAGAAGAGGGCTCTGTGTCATTCCTGGCCCCACTTAACTTCTAACTAAGGTCAGCTAATTTGTACTTGAACAGAGCTTTATGATGTGTGACCTTTTGGGCACTTGGACATAGCACCATCGTTTAGGTGCTTCATAAATAAGTTCTTCCTTCTATCAAAGGTTGATAAATTAATATGCTCGAGGGTCATTACTGTTTTTTAAAAAAATTAACCTTTTGCAATTCAGTGGTATTTAGTAAGTTTACAAAATTGTGCAACCTTTCCCTGAAGACCTTAAAAGAGCGTACTACAGGGATACTGCTACATCGATGTTCATAGCAGCACAATTCACAATTGCTAGACTGTGGAACCAACCCAGATGCCCTTCAATAGATGAATGGATAAAAAAAATGTGGCATTTATACACCATGGAGTATTACGCAGCACTAAAAAATGACAAAATCATAGAATTTGCAGGGAAATGGATGGCACTAGAGCAGATTATGCTTAATGAAGCTAGCCAATCCCTAAAAAACAAATACCAAATGTCTTCTTTGATATAATGAGAGCAACTAAGAACAGAGCAGGGAGGAAGAGCAGGAAGAAAAGATTAACATTAAACAGATACATGAGGTGGGATGGAAAGGGAGAGAAAAGGGAAATTGCATGGTAATGGAGGGAGACCCTCATTGTTATACAAAATTACATATAAGAGGTTGTGAGGGGAATGGGAAAATAAACAAGGAGAGAAATGAATTACAGTGGATGGGGTAGAGAGAGAAGATGGGAGGGGAGGGAGGGGGGATGGTAGAGGATAGGAAAGGTAGCAGAATACAACAGTTACTAATAGGGCATTATGTAAAAATGTGGATGTGTAACCGATGTGATTCTGCAATCTGTATTTGGGGTAAAATTGGGAGTTCATAACCAACTTGAATCTAATGTATGAAATATGATATGTCAAGAGCTTTATAATGTTTTGAACAACCAATAAAAAAAATTAAAAAAAAAATAAAATAAAATATTTATTTTTTAGTTAAAAAAAAAAAAAACAACAATCAAATTTTAAAATATTTTTATAACCCAAAAAGTTTCTGTATGCCCACTTGCAGTCATTCTGTATCCTCACTCCAAGCCATAAACAATTACTAATCTGTGTTCTGTCTCTATATTTCATATGAATGGACTGTATTCTTGGTGGTCTTTTTGCATCTGGATATTTCATGTAAATGGACCACATTCCTGGTAGTGTTTTGCATCTGACTTTTTTCACTTGACTTCATGTTTTTAAGATTTTCTATGTAAAATAAATAAAAATTAAAAATAAAATAAAAAGGAAAAAATAAAGATTTGTCTTGTGATAGCATCATCAGTTATGTGCTACAACCTTTTAATCAGCGTATATAAATATATGATATTTTGAGATCAATAGCAGTTTTATGGCTCTGGTTTTCTAAAGTATCTCTGTTTCATAATATTATCTCTTTCATTTTCTCCCCAGGATTTGGTTGCTTTGGAACATCAGTGGACTAGCTTCTTCGCTAATTTTGATACAGAAATTCCTTTCCTGCTAGAACTTTCAGAATCTCAGGCAGGCGAGGTATGTTAAGGGAAGGGTCAATGAAAGAAAGAATTGTTAATTTATTTGTTGTTTTTATTAAATTTTTTTTCCAAAATACACTATCAATCCTATATTATTGTTGTTTTGTAATTTGATTATCATTTTCTTAAACTGTGTTATATGCCATAAAGAAATTCACCCCCTTGCCAATCTCTATATAAAAAGTTGTTTGGGGGCTTGTGGATGTAGCTCAGTGATAGAGCATTTGCCTAGCATGAGCAAGGCCCTGAGTTTGATCCCCAGCACTGCAGAAGGGGGTTGAGGGTGTTTTGTCTTTTTTCCTGTGCCAGCTTCTCTACTGGATGAATATTCACTTTTCAGTATGGTGGTGCCTTTGTCAGCCAGAAATTCTAGTTAATAATTTCTAGTTAATAATTTCTTCACATATCTCCTTCAAATGTCAAACTGTCTTTTTTTAATATTTATTTTTTAGTTGTAGTTGGACTCAATACCTTTATTTTATTTATTTATTTTTATGTGGTGCTCAGGGTCAAACCCAGGGCCTAGGTTTGCTAGGTTAGTGCTAGGTGAGTACTCTACCGCTGAGCCACAACCCCAGCCCCCAAACTGCCTTTATAAGCAAACAATAGTGAGAAGTTACCAGTTTCAGACTAAAACACTCCATGAGTAAACTGAAGTATCTAGATTGAGAACCAAAAAGTATACACACTGCCTTTGTGTGTATATGTCACAGAAATTAGTCAACGTGGATTAGAAGAGCTCTCCTGAATTGGACAGGGCAGAGTGGTGGAAAGGGTGGGGGATGGGAATGGGAAAGACAGTAGAATGAATTGGACATAAATTTCCTATGTTCATATATGAATACATGACCAGTGTAATTACACATCATATATAACCACGAAAAGTGGGAAGTTATATACTCCATGTATGCATGATATGTCAAAATACATTCTATTGTAAAGTTAATTAAAAAGAACAAATTAAAAAAAAAGAACAACAACTCTCCTGAGCTTGCCCTTGAGTCCACCTTGGGCTTTTACCACCAGTACTCAGTTCTCTGGCGGCCCAGAACAATCCCTTCTCCTCCTCCTGATCACGTGGAGCAGGAGTTGATTTTTTTGTGGGTTGGTGGTAGTGCTGGTGTTTGAACCCAGGGCTGCCCACATGTTAGGTAAGTGCTTTGCTACTGAACCACACCCCAGCCTCTGGAGTTGATCTTAGTGTGAATTTTCTTTTACTTATGTTGTAAACCCCAGAATATATTGTTATTGTTGTTTTAAACAATTATCTATTTTAAAGGTTTACTGAATAAGAAAAATATCTTATGTCTTTTCCCATGATGTTACTTTCTCTGGCGCTCTTTCTTCCTTTGTGTAGACCTGGATTTCTATTTGGTATCCTATTTCCCTAAAGATTTTTCTTTAACATTTTTTGTAGTTCAAATCTTATTCTGATGAAATCTTTCAGCTTTTGTATATTTAGAAAAAAAATCTTGATTTCATTTTTGAAAGATACTTTTGCCATGTATTGATTCTAAGTTGACAATATTTTCCTTTCAGTACTCAAAAGATGTTGCTCTACTGTCTCTCACTTTGTTACTGATAAGTCTTTTTTAAAATTTTATTTGTTCTAATTATTTATACAAGACAGTAGAATGCATTTTGACATATTGTACATAAATAGAGCACAACTTCTCATTCCTCTGGCTGTACATGGTGCAGAGTCACTCTAGTAGTGTAATCATACATATATATAGGGTAATAATGTCTCTCATTCTACCATTCTTTCTATCCCCACAGCCCCACCTTGTTACTAATAAGTCTTTCATCCTAATCTTTGTTTCTCTGTACATAGCAGAGAAAGTCCCTGTAGCAGATTTTTAAGATTTCTCCCTTTATTACTGGTTTTGAGTAATTGGATTATGATATGCCTTGCTGCAATTTTCTTCATATTTCTTGCATGTGGGTTTTATTGAGCTTCTTTTCTTAGTTTGGTGGATTTATAGTTTTTGTCAAGTTTGCTAATTTTTTGTACATTATTTGTTCAAATAGTTTTTCAGCTTCCTGTCTCTCTCCTTCCAGTTATTCCTAAATTAGACCTCAAAATTCTCACACACTTCAATGGTGCCCTTCAGCTTTTTGCATTCTTTTTTTCTTTCTCATTACTGTGATCCTAAGAATGAGAGATATTCAAAAAGAGATAACTCAGAAGTGTCACTCTCTAGACCTGGGAATGTAGTTCACTGGTAAGAGTATTTGCCTAGTATGTATGAGGCCCTGCTGGTTCAATCCCTGGCACTACCAAAAAAAAAAAAAAGTGTTACTTTTGTTTCTGACAGGTGACAAACCTCTTTAATTTCTGATTTATCTCTTCTATTTCCTTTGCACAAATGAACAGATATGTATTTTTATATCTTTCTTGCATTGAAGAATAACAAAGAGTCATTTCCACTTTGCTTTCTTCATTTAACAATATATCTTGGAACTCTTTCCAAATCAGTTTGTTGAGATTTTTCTCCTTCTTTGCCACAATTTACAATACTCTATTTTGAAAATGAATCTTAATTTAGTCAGGTACTCTCTTATGTATACATATTTAGGTAGTTTTCAACAGTCTGCTATTTGCAAACAGTGGCATAGTAAATAACTTCATGCTCATCTTTCCATAATGTTATACACACACACACACACACACCTAGGAATGGGATTTCTGGGTCAAAAGGTAAATACATACACAATTATGTTAGCTATTGCCAAATCCCCCTTAAGAAGGTTTGTACTAATTTTCATTCTTAATGATATGAGAGTGCCTGTTGCTCCACAGCCTCACCAATAGAATATAGGGTCATACTTTTAAATTTTTCCACAGTCCTAGGCTGGGGATGTGGCTTAGTAGTAAAGCACTTACATAATGTGTGTGAGGCCCTGGATTCAATCCCTGTATCACAAACATACACACATACAAAAATTGTCTCCACAGTCTTATAGATGAGAAATGGTATCTCAGTGTTGTTTTAATTTAGGTTTCTCTGCTTATAAGTAAGTTGAACATCTTTTCCATGTTTAGAATTATTTATATTTTGTTTTATGTCTTCTTTTCCCTCCAATTTAATATTGATGCAGTTTTTTTCCTATACTAGGGATTGAACTCAGGGCCTTGCACATAGATAGCAAGTGCTCTACCATAAGCTGTACCCCCAGTCCTGGTACAATATTGACTGAACAAAAGAGCACAGTTTTTTTGTTGTTATTTAAGAGCATAGGTTTTTAGGTCTTTTGTCCCTTAGTTTTAAGGAGTTCTTTATATATATTCCAAATATTTCTTCCATGTTAATCACACTTGCTTTACTTATGGAAACTATTTTTATTTTTATGTAAATATCAATCTTTTATCATCTCTAAATTTTAAATCATTGTACAGAGAAAAGTTTTTTAATTTTTTTTAATTGGAGCTCTACAATATACTATAGTAGTTGGGTAATTTTGACAAAATAATACATGCAAAGAATTTTATTCCAATCCCCATCAGAGAAAATCTTTAATTGAAGGTTAAAGAGTAATTCACCATCTAGTATTTGCATGGTTTAATGTTTTCCATTTAGGTCACTAATCCACAAGGGATTTTTATTGTGTATGGTGTGAGATACAGATCTAATTTTATCTTTTTTCTCAATGATTACTCAGTTAAAATCCCAACTATGTAATTCACTAGCTCTGTGGTCTTGGTCAAGTCAATTAACTTTTCATGTCTTAGTCAACTCATCTGTAGAGAGGAGATGATGATACTATGAAGCTCATAGGTTGTTATTAGGATTGCTTAAAAGTAAGTAATTGAAGTGTCTTTCACAGTTCACATGGGAAGTCCATAATAAATTTCAACTATTATTATTTTAAAAGTGTTATTATAAATTAACAACACAAATGCCAAAATTCTAATTGATAAATATCTAAAGAATATATAAGTAACAAAGAGAAATCCATATGGCCACTGAACATATCAAAAATATTGTACTTCATTAAAAAATCAAAGGGATAGGTGGCACATGCCTGTAATCCCAATGACTCAGGAGGCTGAGGCAGAAGGATCTCGAGTTCAGACTAGCCTCAGCAACTTAGTGAGGCCCTAAGCAACTCAATGAGACCCTGTTTCCAAATAAAATATAATAAGGGCTGAAGATGTGGCTCAGTGATTAAGCGCCCCTGAGTTCAATGCCTTGTACCCCCCCCCCAAAAAAAAAAATAGTCAAAAGGATATAAAGGGCTGGAATTGTGACTCAGTGGTAGAGCATTTGCCTCACATGTGTGAGGCACTGGGTTCAATTCTCTGCACTGCATATAAATAAATGAATAAAATAAAGGTCCATCAACAACTAAAAAAAATCTGAAAAAAATTTTAAGAGGGATATAAAATAGAACATAGTGATCATTGTGGCATTGATCAATGTGGCAAATCTCTTTAAACCATTCCTTAGGCAGTGCTGATGATGAGACCCAGAAATAGGCACACTCGGATATTGTAAGTGAAAGTGTACATTGACAAAACTCTTTTGAAAAACAGTATAGTTCTGCCTATTTGTTTTAGAGCTGTCTTAGGAAATATTCAGAGCTCCAAATTATTCATTACACTATTAATCTTGATATAGAAGAGTTAGTAACAATATAAATTTCCAAGAATAGAGGACTACTTAATACACTTAAGTATAATCATATAGAGTCTATGAATATGCCATAGAAAAAAAGATTTGAATGGCCAGGTGTGGCAGCACATCTTTCTAATCCCAGTTACCCATCTCAGTGGAAAGGATTGCAAGATTGAGGCCAACCTGGGCAACTTAGTGAGACCCTGTCTGAAAAATAAATAAAAATAATAAAAATAAAAAATACAAAGGACTGGGGATGTAGTTCAGTGGTAAAACACTTGCCTGACATGCACAAGACCATGGGTTCAATCCCCAGTACTCTCCCACCCCCCCCCTCAAAAACAAGAAGGAAAAAAAGATTCAAAGAAAATGTACCAAAATGTTAATGGTTCTTAGAGATTACAGTGGTGGTTTTTATTGTGTTCTGCAATGAACATATACTGTTTAAATAATTGGAAAAAAACACAAGTGTTCTCTAGAGGTATTATAATTGCTATTTGAAAATTTGAACTCTCTGGACACTAGACCCCGTGTGTTTGCTTTGGTTAGTGTTTAGCCTAATGCTGTGTATCCAAAAGCTGAGAATTATTTATTTGGTTTCCCAGGAAACTTCTGTCAGTGTACTTCTGTGTTCCTTGGATTCTCCCTTGTTGCTGATTTTAAATTAGCATATTATAATTAGTACACATTCATGTTTTGGAAATTTATAAAAAAACTTTCTAAATATAAGGGGGAAAAATCCCTACAAGATTAGCAATTTGGACAATAGATGGTGGTTGGTCCAGTGTTCTTTCAATAAAAACTATAAATTTGAAAAGAAAATTTAAAAAAATTTTTCTTTACTTTTGCAGCCTTTTGTCTTCACTTTTTTTTTTTTGCTATGTGTCCTCCAATTAATGTTGCTATCCACCACACATATCCTTCCATATTCTTAGAATAATCTACTGACATCCCTCTTTCTCACACATACATTCTACATGCTCTCTTGAGTGTGTGTGTGCACATATAAACATGTATGAACGATTTCTGATTATTTTATAAAATTGTGCTCTTATATACAATATTGTCTTCTTTTTAGCCATTCAGAAGTTACTTCAGTCATGGAATGATCTCCAGCCATATAACTGAAAACAGGTAAGGTCCCCAAGGGAAGAAGTGTGAATGGTGATAGAAAAAAATGGAACTTACAAGCAAGGTGAAATTTGGGAGCATTCAATTAGAGAACCTAGAGTCAGAAGAGTATGGCTTTAGTCATCACAGGGTAAGAAATCCTGTACCCTGTAAATTCATTGGTTTCACTGCTTTTTTTAAAGAATATGTATTTTATTTTTCGGTAATTTTATAGTAAACTAGCATTTTGTAGAGGGGAGTTACTGGGGATTGAAATCAGGGTCACTCAACCTCTTAGCCACATCCTTACCCTTATTTTGTAAAGTCTCACTGAGTTGTTTAGTGTCTTGATTTTTGCTGAGACTGGCTTTGAACTTGCAGTCCTCCTGCCTCAGCCTCCTGAGCCTCTGGGATTACAGGTGTGCGCCACAGTGCCCAGGTAAACTAGCTTTAAATGAATTAGAGCCTGCTAAAATCTAAATGAAGGAATGTTGATTCCTTATCCCTAGCTTAGGAAAGCAAGAGTAAAAATTCAGGGACTGGGCAGGAGAACAATAGTGGTTTGTGGGGAGTAAAAGGATCTCCTCATGAAGAAGAGGGGAACAGGAAGTGTTCCAAAGTTTTTCCTTCATTTTTGTCATGATCAACAGGAAGTGCTTCCTCTGATGGATAAAGAAGATAGATCTTGGGCTGGGGATGTGGCTCAAGCGGTAGTGCGCTCGCCTGGCATGTGTTCGGTCCACGTTCGATCCTCAGCACCACATACAAAGATGTTGTGTCTGCCGAAAACTAAAAAATAATAAATATTAAAATTCTCTCTCTCTCTTTAAATAAAAAAAAGAAGAAGATAGATCTTTCCTCTCTTCTTCCCTCAATCACAGTCCACTCTAACAGTAAAACAAAATACCCTGGGGGGATTCAGACTCATTCTGTTCTGCCCAAAATATCACTTAGCTTGAATTAAGTTTCAGAAGAAAAATCAGTCATGTTTAGTTTTCAAAGCCCCTATTTACTTGATGCTTAAGGTACTATTTCAAGGGGAATGAAAAGAAATGCAAAGACTTTTCTACACAACACACATTAAGAGCACTTTAAGGAAAGGGTGGGGGATAAAGAAAACTATCTTTTAAAATATATCTCCCATCAAAAATATTTACTACAACATATCAAGGAAGAGAAGTACATGGTTAAGAAAATAAATAAACCAAATATGTTTTCTGCTCTCATGGAGTTCGTAGTATGCTGAAGAAATAAGACCTTAATTAAATAAACTCACATAGAAATATATCATTGCAAACTCTGATTAATACCATGAAAGAGAAAAGAACATTGATGATACTGTGAAGAGAGTCTGGCCTCCGCTGGGAGAGATGTGAACAATGAGTAGAGATAATTGGGAGAAGGGAGAAGATGAGAGGTCCTGAAACAAGAACATAAAGGACATAAAGAACATGAAATATCCTGGAATATGGGAGTTGGAGGAGAACTGCCTTGCATGGAAATGAAGAAATCGACTAGACCATACAAGCCCTTGTTTGCCATTTGCAAAATTTTGGTACTTCTCCTGAGAATAACAGGTAGTGAATGCTTTGTATATCTAAAAGATTAATTTCACAACCAGGTGCAGTAGTGCGGGCTTGTAATTCCAGTAACTTAGAAGGCCGAGGCAAGAGGATCCAAATTCAAGGCCAGCCTCAGCAACTTAGTGAGAACTTCAGACACTTAGCGTGGCCCTTTCTCAAAATAAAAAATAAAAAGACCAGGAGATGTAGTTCAGTGGTAAAGCCCCCCTTGGTTTCAATTCCCAGTACAAAGTATATATATTATCACTGTTGGAGAATAGGTTATAGAAGGGTAAGGGTGGATGCAGTGAAACAGGAAACGTTGCAGTTATTAAGGGAGGAAATTATGGCAGCAGGGATTAGGGGTTATGGCCATGTGGTTGGAGGAAACTAAATAAATGGTTTTCAGGAGGTTGATTTGATTTAGGGGGTGAGGAAGCACAAATCCTTTGGGATTGCCAAAGTATGCCTCATGTGAAAGTCACTTGGTGACTTTTACAACAGCTCTATGAATGAAATGACTGAGGAGGGGTTGATTAGAATGAACGAGGAGTGAGCAGAAAATGGGAGGGAGGTAGAATTCAGCCAAGAGAGAGGGAGGAAGAGGATGGACAAGTGGTGCTGGAGTATATAGGTAATGAAACTATTTGCAACCTTCTCTTATCCTTTCTACCTGAAAGTTACTCAGAAGTTGGTAACTGCTCTGTTGTCTGCCTAGTCTGATCACAACCACTATCATGCTTTAAAACCTGTATTTCTATTATAATACTGTCATATAAAACTGGGGCTTTGCTTCATCACTATATTATGCACAGCGAAATTTTAAGGAACTGTTCCTCAAAAGGTAGGTTAAGTTGAAAATATAAGTCTAGTGTGGATATAGTTATGTTCCTCAATGACTAATCCCTTTGGGTCACTAGTAAGAGTCGCCTGGCATCCCTTCCCAATCATCCAGGACATTAGGTTCAGGACATCAATCAGAAAAATCCAAGAACTCACTCAGGTCATAGGAATCTGTTTTCTAATCACATGCTTTTCTTGCTGCTCTAGCCCTAATCGGCAGCCATTTGTACTCTTTGGTAATCACTCAACTCGAGAAAACCTGAATGCTGGAAACTTTAACTTCCCTTCTGAAGGGCATTTGGTACGCAACACTGGTCCTGGTGGGAGCTTTGCTAAACACATGGTGAGTGGCTGGACTGCCTGGTGCCTGTTGGTCAATTAGTGCATTTATTTAACCCTGAGTCTGACGTTTGTTTTAAAGTGAAAAATGATTGGAAACTGTATGTATATGTTATGTATATATAAACACATTTATATTTATTTTGAAATATATAACATTTATTTATAAAATATAAAAATAAATATACAATATTTATTAGTACTAGATGTGATTTGAAAACATTTAACTTTGAAGTATTTGAAGGAAAAAAATTAAAAGCAATTTTAATAGTCATACCAAGCCTAAATTTGTGAAGTTCTGGCTTACATTTAAGATCATAAACCTTGATGATCTTTGTTCTCTTATTGAGAGTGCCAGGGAGATTTCTCATTTGATAGTATGTTGTCTGCTACATTCTTTTAAAGAGATCATTGAACTTGAATGTGGGGACTCTAATGAATGTGAACATTTATGCTATCTTAATGGAATGTTAAATATTTTAAAAATGTTTCTGGCTATCAGGAAAGCCAGAGTTGTAGGTGTTGTTATTTTTTAAATTTAGATTTGGAGAATGTGTGACCCAGGTGATATAGTTTAGTCTCTCTGAGTTATGATTCTAGAACTGCCTCTAAGCCAGCTCAGGATATAGAGATACCAGAAAGGATGGGCTGTCAGGACTTTGCTGTTCTGTCAATAGAGGCTCAGACCCCATTTTAAATCCCTGAGTAGTTTTGGAATACACAGAAAATGCCAGATGGAACAGGCTTCTCTGTGTAATATTATTTGTTGAATACACAAATTAAATAAATATAGGAGACAATTCTGACTTCTGCTTCTACAAAGATGGTGTATAATGTATACATGCTTTATCTCTCATTAAATACAATTAAAAACATGGGACCTTTCATATAAAACAAACACAAATATACTCTGAAAGGTACAGAGAAGGAAGCAGGATGGCTAAAGACTTCAGGAAATAAGATGATAGTGAATTCTTATGTTTTTTTTTTCCTTATATCCAGACTGGATATTCAAGAATATCCAGATATATTCAGAGGATCAGAAAAGGTACAGCCTAGTAAGACAGAAAACTTTAAAATAATAACTGCTCTATATACAAGCCCTACAGAAAAAGTACACCTCTGCTCCAACCCTCCCCACAAAGGCCGAGTGGAGACCCTAGATTTCCTTGCTTGCCAGATTGGGGTGAGCTGCCATCCCCACCCATATTCTGCTCAGGATAGTGTCATAGAAGGCCCAGTGGGGAGCCTGAACTTCATAGTTATTTTAAATTATCTGTCCAGGGCTGGAGACATAGCTCAGTGATACAGCACTTGCATAGCATGTGTAATACCCTGGGTTTCATCCCTAGGACTGCAAAATAATAACAATAATAGCTTCTTCCACCCCACAGTATAGCAAGAGGGCTCTTCTTGGGGCAGAATCACAGGTGGCCAATGGGGAATCATATGACTTTTATCACCACTGAGCAGTAGCAAGGCCTCTTCCTTACCCATAGTGTTTGTTACCCTCCAAACTCTGGGATGGTATCAGCTGAGGCATAGTGGGGAACCTGAGCTCCCACTGATATAGCCCCCCCAACATGCACATGCCAGTTGTCAGTAGCAGCTGAGTGGAGAACCTGGATTTGCACTCCTACCGGGTAGTAATGAGGAGGCAGGTCCTCCTGCTCACCACTGACACAGTGTTGGAGGAGGCCTTCTAACATGTTAAGACTTCAGTAAGATTCAGAGAAGACTCTCAGTTTCAGCTCTGATGTGTAAAGAACTTGGAAATTATCCCTATATTTATAAGAAAAAAGCCAAATAAATTGAAAATCAATGACTTTTCTTGGATTCATCAGAGAACTAAGGTCTCAAGGCAAACTGCCACTCTGAAATCTAGAGAGACAGGTAAATCCAGAGAATCACAGCCTGTGTCTCCGTACCTGCAGCAGAAACCACTGATTTTACAAACTTGTGGGAACACTTAAATGGTAATCGTAGTGAAATTCTGCAGGTAGAAAGTGGACTAGTGTGAAAGTGAGAAACTCCTGGGGGACATAGGATTGTCACATTTCCATGGGTTATATTAGTTGAACCCTTGCAAGTTCACATGGTAAAGAGCAAAACAAACCAATTCTCTTATGACTGGTAGGGGAAAAAGAAGAGTGACTGTTTTGAAATATAAGGAAGATAATAACAAAGGCCTCAATAGCAAAACCTACATTCCAGGATAAACAATTTTACCCAAACCTTATTCCATTGGGGAAAAGGGCATTTCTTTGACTCTATCACACTCTGGCCTTCCTGACTCACCTAGGAGAGAGGGAAAAGAGCTAAGAAACACTTGTAAAGGTCAAAGCCTGCAGATACAGGCCCACTCAAAGACTGAGATTTAATCACAAGATTATAGAATGCTTTTCCTACCCCATTACCTTAGCACCACTGCAGCAGGTCTGCAGTTTAATAGCAGGTGGTTAATAGCTGCAAGGCACAAGAGTATATAAGGGGGAATTCATAGGGAAACCCAAAGATAACAAGAGAGACAGATCTAAGGACAGTATAGGAATCAAAACACCTAGCACTTACAACTACAGAAAACATTGAACAGAACCCAACTCTTAGGCATGTTAACATAAAATCTCACATTTAAAGACTTATTTCCCTTGGTTTCTATTACTTAATATATCATGTCTGGCTTTTAACAATAACAAAAAAAAAAATCACAAAGTATTCTAAAAGGCAATAAAAAACATGGTGTGAAAAGCTAATGTGACCCTCAGAACCAACTTGTATCTCATATTTTATAATTTTCGGACAAAAATAATAATGATGATGATGATAATAGCTATTATTATCATTTTACAGTCCTGGGGATGGAACCCAGAGCCCACACATGATGTGCAAATGCTGTACCACTGAGCTATGTTTCCAGCCCTGGACACAGAATTTAAAATAGCTACGGTTAATATGTGAAGGGCTCTAATGGAAAAAGTAGGCAATATGTAGGAATAGATGAATAGTGTTAAGCAGGGAGATGGAAACTCTAAGAAAAAATCAAACAGAAAGGCTGGAACCAAAAAAAGTTATAATGAAAATTAAAAATGTCTTTGATGGATTTATCAGTAGATTAGTCATATCCAAGGGAAGAATCAGTGACCTTGAAAATGATGAATCAGTAAAAACCTCTCAAACTAAAATGTAAAGAGAAAAAACAGCTGTATTTCAAGGTAATGTACTCATCTTTTCCATTTTTGTGTGACTTGTGAATAATTTACAATTAATAAGTGCCATGTAAAATGTGTAAACCCAGATAACTTAAGCATTTACATTATATATGAAATTGTCTCAATTTACTTTTTAAAGTAAATCTGATGTTAATATGTGCTGACTCAAATTTATGATATGACCTAAGGAAGCAGATTTAAAACACATGACACCTTAAAAAAAAACCCTTTAATATGGAAGAACTTGGAAACACAAGGAACATGCTTTAAGGAAATAGCCCTAGATTTTAAAAAAATGTATTAGCCAACAATTATGAATAGGTACATGAGTTTTCCTTCATTGTCATGGCAATATTGATCACATTCACTATAGTGAATATTATGGAGAAGAAGTTCTCATTTCAAATCTGTACCTTGGATTCATAGTATTATGGTAAAATGCTATGTATTCTCATGTGACTTCCTTAATTAGAATAAAAGAAATGATTAGTCATGAATATTTAGCTATTTTTTACATATTATACTAATTTACATTCCTTTATTCTTATGATGGCATGTTTTTTATTTTGTACCTGCTCTCCTAGGAACCTACATGAGATATTGGACATCCATTTATATCTAGAGATATTTATATAGATATAAATGCACATCTTTTAAAAATTTTTTTTTGTTTGTTGTAGATGGACAGCATGGCTTTATTTTGCTTATTTTTATGTGGTGCTGAGGATCGAACCCAGTGCCTCACACATGCTAAGCAAGCACTCTGCCACTGAGCTACAGCCCCAGTCCATAAATGCACATCTTAAAGGAAAGAATAATAAAAATCTTAAAACCTAGAAAAACTTACTTTCTTTTCTACAAGAGCTATATTCAAAGATGAAATCCAAATGAAGGTGGGGACCTAGGTTTCCTGATTTTATAGCTGCCCCATGCCTCTGCCTGTCTTGTGGGCAAAGGTCTTTACATGAAAGCTCTGGATTGAATATTAATGACCGTCAAAACACCTTTTATGTTTTTCCTTCTGAATTGTGAATTCATTAGCACAATGAACTAATTGAGTAGCTGACAGCAGCCTCACATTATAGCCAAGGGTGGAACAGGGGACCTACATATACACACAGAGAAGATACTTTTGGAAAAAGCAGAATTAAAGGTGATCTTCTCTTCTGTTTCTTTAAAAACTAACATTATCAAGCCAGGTGCAGTGGTGCCTACCTGTAATCTCAGTGGCTCAGAAGACTGAGATAGTAGGATTGCAGGTTCAAAGCCAGCCTCAGCAACGGGGAGGTGCTAAACAACTCAGTGAGATCCTGTCTCTAATAAAATACAAATATTGGGCTGGGGATGTGACTCAGTGGTTGAGTGAGAGCTCCTGAGTTCCATCCCTGGTACCTCCCCCCAAAATAATAATAATAAATCAGTTTTGGTTAAATAAGTTTTATTTCCACTGATTATATGCTTTTTATTCCTCTAGCAGTTCACACTTAAGTCTCTGCTACTTTTCTTATTTTTAATATTTTCTGACATGCAGGTAGCACAGTGTATCTCACCAAAAGGACCTCTTGCATGTTCAAGGACCTACTTTTTTGGAGCTACTCACATTCCTTACTTGGGTAAGTCCCTGGAAATCATCTCATTAACTTACCTAGTAAATGGTTTCTCCCATGGATGAGAAGTTAACATAAAATTCACTACTTTGCTTAGAAACTTATGATACCAATCTGTGGGACTCCTACTCCCTCTCTGGGGAGTTGCTGTGCCTAACATGTTACTCACAGAATATTTCAGAAGCAAAATCATTGGTTCAACCTATGGTTTAGAGGTCTAACCCTGTGTAAGATCCTGGACTCAGTGTCAGAAGAAAGGTCAAATAATGAAGATCTAGTTTGAGATAGTAGGAGATATGGGCTACAGTGGGAATATGAATGACTTAGCTGGATGAATACCTGAATGTTGTGAGAAATGTGACAAAGGGCCATAATAGAAGAGTACCCACAAGCTGGGCACATGATGTGGTGCTATCCAAAAAAGGCCAGGCTGACTAGAGCCTCTCTGCTTGCTGGGGTATCCCAGAAGCTGCAGACATAACTTAAAGAATGAATGTGTTGCCAGGCGCAGTGGTGCATGCCTGTGATCCCAGCGGCTCCAGAGGCTGAGGCAGGAGGATCTCGAGTTCAAAGCCAGCCTCAGCAATGGCAAGGCACCCTGTCTCTAAGTAAAATACAAAATAGGGCTGGGAATGTGGCTCAGAAGTTGAGTGTCCCTGAGTGCAGTCCCAGAAACCCCCAACACTTTAGTTCAATCCCGGATACCCCCACCCCCACAAAAAAAAAAAAAAGAATGAATGTGGACCCAGAAGATATAGTACATCAGAAGCCAGATTTTTTTTCCTGGGTATTGTCAAATAAGCCAGGAAACTCTGGAAAAATGCCCTTCCCTTCAGGAAGTCCCAATAAAAAGTCTCATTCCTATAAAAAAATTATCTTGAGTCAGATAGTTAATAAAATTAAGAAAGAAACAGAACTGAACCTGTTTACCTCAAAGTTTTAAAAGTATAAATATTCTGGAGCCTAAGATTCTGCACATCTCTGATGTTTAGGTAGTGATGCTAAGTAGGATGTAAAAGTAGGAAATGTCAGGGTGAAGGTCCAGGAGGATAGTGGAAGAAGCCAGGTTCCATTGTTGTTTGTGCTTATACTGTATTTAACTTAAAAGAAAAATAAATATAGTTCTTGGTAATGTCTTCAAATTAAATTAAGCAGGTGAGATGGCACACTGTTGTAATTCCAGCAACTCGGGAGGCTGATGCAGGAGGATCAAAAGTTGGAGGCCAGCCTCAGCAACTTAGTGAGACCCTCTCTCAAAATGAAAAAAACAAGAAGGACTGGGGTTATACCTCAGTGGAAGAGCACCTCTAGCTTCAATCCTGGGTACCACAATAGATAGATGTATAGATAGATAGATGGATAGATCATTTCCACTTCCTTATATAGTGTTTGCATATTCTGTGCTCTTGTCACATTCTTAATACATGTGTTCTTTCACAGGTGGCAGTGACAAGCTGCCCAAGAAAACTGAACAAATGTAAGTCTTCATATTTGTCTTATTTTTTTCTTTTTTAAAGTTGCATTTCTCGGTTGTGGCTGCTTTGTGTACTTCCTATAGAGATTATCAGTGATTAGGACATCTAGTTATGAAGTGAACATTTCTACATAGTTTCCCAGGTGGTCCCCAGCACCTGTCTGTCAGCTTGGAATCCATATCAGAGGACCCTGCCAGCTTTGCCATCTGCTCTTTTTTCTGGAACTCCAGAGTCTTCCTATCTACACACCATGCATTTACATGATATAACTTCCCTTCATATGTTTTCTATATAGTGCATTTTTAATTGGGGGCTTATCTAAAAGTAAAATAATCTGAAATACATTGGAAGATTCTTTGAAATTCCATGTGGCCTGAGAAGTGTGTTCTCTGGACTTGACACTCAGGCTGATGAAACAGCTGCAGTCTGAATCTCAGCTGTGCAACTTTAGAAAGGCCTTACCTAGTGATGACCTTTCTCAGCAGAAAACCAAAGACAGGAAATAAACTCATTAATGTTGAAACTGCTGAATTCCAAAAAGTATACTCCTTCAGAAATACGATCATAATAAACTTCTTCAGACCATCAGTACTTCTTAAAGACCAGCAGTGACAAGTCAGAAATAATTATCTAAGGATCTCTTAAACTATAGGTTCCCCTTACTCATTCTCATAACCATTGAATCAGAATCTCTAGGGCAGGGCCCACAAACCTGAATTGGGAAAAGTATAGTGCAGGTAAGTGCTGTGTCTCCCTTCAGGAAGTCCCAATAAAGAGTCTTATTCCTCTAAAAAAAAAAAAAAAAAAAAAAAAAACTCCATATGTGTTTAGATTTACTTAACTATAATTGCCTGGCTAGCTTGGTCAGTAGAGCATGAGGCTTTTGTTAAAATACCTTTTTTCATTGTAGATGAACACAATAAACTAAATAAATAAATAAGTAAACTCTATTTTATCTATTTATTTATATTATCTATTTATAAATAGATAAATAAACACTATTATATCTATTTATTTTATTTTATTTATGTGGTTTGAGTATCAAACCCAGTGCTTCACACATACTGGGTGAGCAGTCTGCTGCTGAGCCACAACCCCAGCCTAAGCATGAGACTCTGAACTATAATTATAATGCCTAGAAAGTTTTTTGTTGTTGTTGTTTTAATTAGTGCCTAGAAAGTTTTGTTTTGCAGATTTTTTTTTTCACTTTAGCAGCAATCCAACCACTTTTTCATATGTTGGTGGGTGTAATCTTGCTTTGTGCCTGCTTGTGCCTCCATGACAGATATGCTTAGCCACTGCCCAGGATCTTCATTCTGGAGACCCTTAGACATTTTGCCTAAACCAAATTCATTGGGTCCCTACATCAGGACCTGGTATTAAGAGGTACTTATGCCCAAGTCAGGAAAGTCACAGAGCTGGTGGAACTTGGGCCTTGTGGAGTCCTAGTGAAGGAAACAGCAGCACTACCCAGTCCATTTTAAGGGTCAGTAACCAGGTATTGGCCTGTGTGTGGGGCTCTTGTCTTAGGATCTGTGTAAAGGAAGGCCAAGAAGGGAAGTTGTCCAATGCTGGACTGACTGATGTTTGAGTCAAGCCAGGGAAGGGGATATTTTTACATGTCTTTGGGGTTGACCATTATAAAACTTTACCCTAGTGTGGTGGTATGGAGGATTTTTGTGTTCTCACCTGGAAGTTGCAAAGTTCATTGACAGTGTCCCTGCCAGGTCCTTCCTACTAGGTAGACCCTCTGCTCTGGCCAGCAGTCTTCAGGATATGTTACTCTCAGTTGTTGTTTTGCTATGGAACACTCTGTCCCTTTTTCTTTTTCAACCCAACTAAAATCTCTTGGCTGTGAAATGGAGGTGCAGAAGCCAAGGAAGAATTGAAGGAGATGGCACACAGCAGAAAGGCACCAGGCCGAAAGTAGAGCCGAGTTCAGGTCTGCCATGAATTTCTGTGCCCTTAGATAGCCCTCTTCACCTCAAGAGGCTCTGCTTGCTTCACCATTCTAAGAGAATTCAACCAGATTATTTTTGTGTTTCTGCCCACTTTCAAATTCCTGTTGCTTCCTCTTCCTGTTACAGGGTTAAAAATAGACATATTCTTTGTGAGGCCATGTTTGTACCTTGCTGGGCACCTCCCCTTGCCTTTCAGATGAGCCTTTGCCATGTGGATGAGCACCTTCTCTCTATAATGTCTTAATTGAGAAGAGCCTGGGCCTCCTTTCTGTAAAGCAGGTGGTTCTCTACCAAGGGCAGTTCTGCCTCATACCCCTATATTCCCAACCCTGGGCACATTTGACAAGGTGTGAAGACACTTGATTGTCACAACTAGAGGGTTCTGTTGGTGTCTAGTGAGTAGAAGTGAGGGATGTTGCTAAATAAACCTCATACAATGCACAGGACAGACACAGACCCTACAGCAAAGAATTATCTAGCCCAAAATAGCAATTTCCAGAAACTCTTCCATAAAGGGGACCAGACTTGGATTTTCTGAATACCTTTGTGGAAGTCTCAGTCTAGCAAAGAAGAAAACCTTTTTATAATGGCTTTGGATTGAGGGGGAGATAAGAGATCCTCTCAGAAGCATTCTTGACATTTTTTTTTTCATCTTTATTTTATTTTATGTGGTGCTGAGGATCGAACCCAGCACCCCGCGCATGCCAGGCGAGCTCGTTACGTTACCGCTCGTGAGCCACATCCCCAGACCCTTTTCTTGACATTTTTGATCAGGCAGGCTGCTTAGAAAGTGGCCTGCAGCTGTTTAATCTGAATTTAAGTGAACTCCCTTCAGCCAGACAATCTCTCTTGCTCTCTAAGAGTTCCTGCCCTGGGGTTCTATAGCAGCCAGTGTTTAGATGTGGTGTGACTAGTCCCTGGAAAAGCTTCAAGTGTGTATCTTTTTACTGAAAGGGTTTTTTTTTTTTTTTTTTTTTATAACTTTATTTTATTTATTTATTTTTGTGGTGCTGAGGATTGAATCCAGTGTCTCATACCTGCGATGCAAGCACTCTGCCACTGAGCCACAATCCCATCCCTGAAGGATTTTTTATCTGTGGGTACCTGCCCCTGTACATATGGTGCTCAGGGAGCCTACTAGTTTTATTCTCTTTGATCCCAAACAGGGAAGGTTGGACTTTCGAGCAGAATTCAGAGGAGCTGACTTTAAGATGGTTTAACAAGAGTAAAGTATAAATCAAATAGGCATATGACTTAAGAGTTCGTTTTTCAGTGAGTTTCTTTTTTCAATGAGTTTCATTTTTTGCACTTTTATCATTCTATTTAAAAATCAGTTCCTTGGGGACTGTTGTTTATGTGCATGCAGCTTATGATGAAATCTCATGTTACTATAGTTAACAATTATTTTTTGTTTTTAAAGTAGGCTCTTGTCCCAGATATATGCTGCTGTTATTGAGGCTGTTTTGGCTGGCATTGCATGTTATGCTAAAGCTTCCAGTCTAACAAAGGTAATTTAAATACCATGTTTCTCTTTCCGTGGTCATTATTTAATGTAAAGCATCCTAACCATTTGTTTATCTTTGGACATCTGGAGTTCTCACTTTTATGTGAACTTGGGCCTCCATGGCAGCAGGCAGAGATGCCTGTGGAGTGCTGAGCTTCTGCTGCCTATGGCCATGCTGCTGTTGTTTTATCAGTGACAACTCATCAGCACTTCTTTGTAGACATCTGGTTGTGTTAAAGTCATTCTGTAGTACATTGTTATGTTCAGTTTAAACAGAATGCTTTTAGAAGTTAACTATAGATTATTCTGCTGTGAGTTTTAATAGTTAGGTATTTTTTTTTTTTTTGAGCTACTTAGTTTGGTTTCCTATGATCCAGTGTTTAAAAAATCAACTATAGACTAGAAAATCTGACTTTCCTTTCCTAGACAAGCATGCGTGTCCTCGGTCTCTGACCATTTTCTTCCTTGATGTTTCATGATTAACCTGGCCTGCTGAGTTGGATTCCTAAATCTGACATAGTAAGGAGATGAGAAGAGTCAGCTTGATGCCTCCCAGTGCCAATAGGACCTTTCCTGAAGGAAACCAGTTGATATTGGAAAGGTTGTGTATGATGTAGATGTGAGAAAGACCTTAGACATAGTCACCAGCCCCTTACCATCTCCCCTCCTCACTGAACTTGAATCCTGGAATCTCTGTACTGATGCAAGATTGTTCAGCCATTTAACTTCTACCTACCATAGGGCCTATGCAAAGCCATGGGATACCCTTCTGTTCCTACACCTTTGTTTTCTAACTGATCTTTTGTAACTCTAGCTATTTAAATATTCTTAGTGTCTGGCAGGGACTAAGAGCAGTGGTCCCTCTACTAGAGTTAGGGGAGCGGGGAGCCCTTTTCTAGACTTCACATACTATCAGCATCACCCCAGCTGTCCATATCTCTCTGGCAGATCAGGTGCCAGTGCCCATCTGCTTGAAAGCAGTTTTTTTCCTATGAGCCAGGCCTGAAGAAAGTAAGAGCCCTGTTTCCCTTAACATGATGTTTATTTACACTTTAGTCTCTTGATGTATACAGAGTAGTTACATAGAAGGCACCAGCCAACTGTTAGAAGGTCCCTTCCTGTCAGTGATATGTGTATTTTTTACTGCTTGAAAGCTAATTCATTCTCTTTCTCTCTCTCAACAGGCCAAAGAGGTAGCAGAGCAGACTCTGGTATCTGAGTTAGATTCCTTTGAGCTGGTTCAGTTTAAGACAGCCCTATGGTAAGCAATGGTTGATGTTCTTTTTACAAGGAATTTTTTTGATTTGTTTTCTAAAATACTCTTGTCCCATGTAATTTATATTCCATTTTCCTTTAGAGAAATGTTTCAGTAAAAACATTCAGTAAAAATAATGATATATATGAAGGAGAATCACTTGTGATCAGGCCTTTATTTGACAAGCTAAGAGCCAAAACCAGAGGAACCATATGAGGAACACTTGCACATCTTTTGAGGCTAGAATGTGAGGCAGATTCATACCAGAACCTTAGGAGATTTCATAGGTCTGGTTCCAAAATAAAGTTAGAAGGGTAAAATCAGGGACCTTGGAGATAGATTTGTTGGGGGAAGGAAGCTGGCACATGAAGATAGTCACTGCTTAGAAGAGACTTACTATAGTCCTGATCTGCCTCGTAGATGATAGAAACCCTGAGTCTTGGGACTAGATGCTCTGGAAATATGACTTCTTGCAGCCTTCCATCACATCTCCCTGCCTGTCCCTCTGCATCTCTTTGTACAGAGCTAAATCTTCATGAACTCAGTCCACTTAATCCCCATCTCACAGGAGGATCACTTTGTGTACTTTTATGCGAAGGGTACAAAAACATCAATATTGGAGAGTTTAAGAATACTTCTGGGGCCAAGCATATTGGCACCTTCCTGTAATCTCAGCAACTCAGGAGGCTGAGGCAGGAAGATCATAAGTTCAAGGCCAGCTCAGCAACTTAATGAGACCATATCTCAAAAAAATAAAATAAAAGGGCTTAGGAGTGTAGCTCAGTGGTAGAGCATTCCTGGGTTTCCCTAGTCCTGCCCCCCCCCAAAAAAAAACTCACAAAAAGACTCCTAGAACTTGAGGATATGGTGCTTTCCTAGCATGAATTCAGTTCCCTGCACTTCAAAATAAATAAATAGATAGTTTTCAGTCCCTAGCACTGCAAAATAGATAGGAAGGAAGGAAGAATGAATACATATTTCTGGGGTGTGCTATCATGCCTCCACTCCCATGGCCCATGTTTTCTAATACCTACAACCCTGGATAATGAGAAGAAGTGTTTGATAGTTATATCAGTCAGTTGATCAAACAAAAAAATTCTATTCTATTGCTGTAGCTCCAGAAGATGTAGAACTCAGTGGTGCAAGGCTTCCTTTTGCTTCAGGTCTCCTTTCCCCTGGGTCTTCTGGGTCTTTTTGTTTTGGCTGTGGAAGAGGACAGATAGGAGAAACCTGTTCCATTAGTCCTTGTGCTGCTCTGCATTGTCTGTTACTGGCAGGTCTAAGTTCATGAAAGTTCCTTCACTTTCTGGCTATAACTTGTTAGACAGGATAGGCAGCCTCTATATCTATTTCCTGAAACTGTCTATCTAATAGAGTGTTTAGGTATGTAGATCTTATTTGCTATTATAGTGAACTTGGCTGAAATAGTCATTCTATTTATCCTTTGCCTTGGGATTTTGCAGGGCCACTTCTCAAACCCAAAGCTTCCTAGGCCTGAGTGTATCACCCTAACTGGAAGAAGGCATATGGAGAAAACACTGAGTAATGGGAGGAGAGTCCCAGAGTCAGTCCTGCACCTAGAGCCCCGCTCATTTCTCTCCACAAGACTTACTTTACTGAGGACTCACACTGCATCACATTAGCAGATCACCTGCCTAGAAAGGAAGGTGGAGGGAGCCATGAATATATACTGAAGTTAGTGTGTTACTAACTAGTACTTCTTAAGGCATGAAATTTGGCTTATATTATTTAGAAACTTTATTTTACAAAGAGTAAACCAGAAGGGTTTTCTGGTTATTCCTCAGCTCTGAAGACCTAGCCCTGCCTTTGGCTCCTTAGCAACTAACTGTGAGTAGCAGAGATGTGGCCTTTGCTGGAGTGTAGAGCAAAACCGGCAGTTTGACTCAAGGTTGATGAAGAGCAGGAGTTTCAGGACAGTATATAGAGGCTGAGGAGCAGAAGTGTTATCATGCCAGTCGAGGGCCACAGGCAGTCTGCAAGAGTCAAGATAGCCCTTGAGAACTAGCAGGCAGGGCCTGGGGTCAGATACTGGCTCCATACTTTCTGATGGCATGGGACCCAGGGAGAGGTATCTAAAATAACTGAGGTAAATCTGTGTAAAGCTAGGATAACACAGTAGTCAGAAAGAACAGACTGACTTCTATTGTGTTTTGGTTTTGGTCTACAGCTCCAAGATGGCTTTTCATATACATGCTGTGAATAATCAAGGAAGGTGAGTGTATGATTTTGGTATCTTCTTCCATGATAAGTTGAAGAACATAAAGAGAGGAGAGGCTGCCTTGTAGCTGCAACCTTCATTGATCTTCTCACAGTTCCATTCTTGGCCAAGGTACCACTCCAGACTTGGGTTCAGACTGGCTGTATTCATCTGAGCCTCTGCACTCTTGAGTGCTTCCCACTGGAGTAAATGAGTTCACTCCAGTTACCCACATGCTAATTCTGCATACTGGAATTCAAAACAGAATTTCATAGTGTTTTAAAAATCCTTGAGAGAAATCTGAGTCTGTGAGTTGTTACCAAGTTGAAAAAAGAACATTGTAAATTTTGGTGCAGTTAAAATGTCACCTCCCATATCTTTCCTCTTACAGAATTGTGCCTCTGGAGGGTGAAGATAGTTTATCCTTTGTGAAAACGGTAAGCAGAGCTATTATATATACATCAGCTGGCTAGGAACGGCCTGTAGAGGGACACCTGAAAGGGGTGAGGTGGGAATAGGTAGGGGTGTCCAAGTAACTAAGACTGTTCTGATCTCATGGAAATTTTGAGTTGAGGACAAACCTGCCTTTACCAATGGACCAACAGGTTTTAGTGGCTTCTTTTGCATTCTAAGACCTGAGTTGATGCCCTTAACAGGGAGCTGGGAAGATCCATTAAACAAACAATAATCAACAAAGGCCTGGGTCTCCAGTGAAGTGGGGCAGAATAGTTTAGAGACATACTGAGCTATTGGTCCCTGGGATAGTATGGCATAGCCTGAGGGAATCAGAATTTTCTAAGCCAGCTTCAGCCACAAGCCAAGTGCTCCATTTATTCCACTGCATCCTGGTGTGAAGAGGGTTGGCAAACAGTGCATTAGAGGATGGTGGCTATCCAGCCAAGAATCTGGTTGAAGTATACATGTGCACAAGTTATACCTTAAGTTTGTTCTGTGGCCACTGCCTGAGCCTTAATTCCAGCACACTTTGGTCATGGTAAGTGGGCAACTGTAGACGACTTAGTGCAGATGCATTCCCATCACCATTACTGGTGGAAAAGCAGCTCAAAGGGCTTGTCAGTAGTGTTTTCTCATCTGTAGAGAATAATACAACAAGGGTAATTTGGTGGGGGGGGGTACTGGGGATTTAACCTAGGGGTGCTCAGCCACTGAGCCACAAGCTTAGCCCTTTTTTGTATTTTATTTAGAGACAGGGTTTCACTGAGTTGCGAAGGGTCTTGCTGAGTTGCTGAGACTGGCTTTGAACTTGCAATCCTCCTGCCTCAGCCTCCTGAATAGCTAGGATTACAGGTGTGTGCCACCAAGTCTGACTAGGGTAATTTTTTAAGTTGTGAGTAATTAATGTTTTATAATGTATTTGGTCCCTGTCTGTCAGCATTTTGTGGTATTGTTCTTTTAGAACTATTTTAAACTTTTTTTGTGATATCAAGATATTGGGAAATACTTTATGACACTGGGGTGATAATACTTTATCACCTTGCTAAATTTTAAATTTCTGGCTTCTCTCCTTGGATTCTTGTGCAGTGCTTTGGAATGTGCTTTGCACAATAGTATGTGACTAGGAGCCCAATAGAATCATATTCTTATGATAAGTATGTATTGAAAGCTGGGCACAATGCAGTGTTACTATAGTCCCAGCTACTTGGGAGACTGAGGCAGGAGGATCACTTGAAGCCAGGAATTCAAGGCCCCCTGGGCAATATAATGAGACCCTGTCATATTTTTTTTAGGTATGAATTTATTAGCAGCTAATGAAATAAGAAAGAGTAGTCAGGAATTTTATGCTTTCTTTCCAGGATCAGGCAGATATGAAGTTCTGCCTCTTCCTTGAAGCTTTCCCTATTGATTTCTTCCCTATAAGTACTGTGTTCTTATAGGATTTGCAGTTTATACCATGTAAATTAGGAAATAATTCTGAACTAATATGTCATTTCACTTTTCTGTAAGCTCTTGTCTCTATAGCTACACATTATAGATTTCCTGAAGAGATAGGTACTATGTTGTATTTTTTCCTCTCCCCATGCCACAAAGTGGCAAATACATGGCAAGTATCCAACAAATGTAACATGTATTTTTTTCCAGTGTTCTCTCTCCCCTTCCTTAATACCAGTGACCAAATATGAAAGTGAAGGATCAGAAAGCCACAGGATCTGTTTACTTGATTGATCTGGAAACCAAAGAAAGAAGTAGTATTCCCACTGTCACTTATGAAGGACCATGTAACCAGCAAAACTCTGTGTTATCAGATGCTCAAAATCCCTTGAGAGGGCTGGGGTTGGGGCTCAGTGGCAGAGTTCTTGCCTAGCATGTGTGAGGCACTGGGTTTGATCCTTAACACCATATACAAATAAATTAAAGGCATTCTATCCATCTACACTACATTTTTTTTAAAATCCCTTGAGACAGATTAAAATAAACCTTCCAATTATTAAGCCTAATCAGAAAATTAACTCAAACATAAAAGCCTACTTGTCAATTCACCCTATTATCATGACAACTTTGAAAATCAGGGACTTGGCTTTGATTGTGTTTTTTTTTCTTTTCAACCCTTCTGTGTTCTTTACTTAAGAATCCAGCAGTTCCTAGCTGGTTACTGTGGTTTACACCTGTAATCCCAGCAACTTGGGAGGCTGAGGCAGGAGGATCACAATTTCAAGACAAATCTCAGCAACGTAGCAAGACCCTTAACAAATTGATGAATAAAATAAATATTCCTCAAAATTAAAGAAACTTGGCATGTAGCAATGTAGATCAGTGATGATATGTGACATTAGTCCCTAGTATCAGAACAAAACAAAACAAAAGAATCCAGCATTTTCTTCAAGTGCCCCATTTTTTTTTTTTTTGTCTCTGTCCTAGGGGTAGATTAGGGGCCCCAAGCAAGGATAATAATATGCAGTAACGGACTTTGCTTCAGAAACTCTGTACCCCACTAATCAACAATGCTCAGGTTAAGAGGGAAAGAACCTATGCTCAGGTTAAGAGGGAAAGGACCTAACCTGATAGGCTTGTTGTACTGCTTATCCCATGTCCCTCACCAGATCTTCATGGTCATCCCATACCCAGACCCTAGCTCTGGCTTATATACTTCTACCCACTTTCTGTGGTGTTTCTTTTATTTTCCTTCCTTCCTTCCTTCTTTCCTTCCTTCCTTCCTTCCTTCCTTCCTTCCTTCCTGTTTTTTTAGAGATAAGGTCTTGCCATGTTACCAAGCTGGTCTGGAATATCTAGGCTCAGAGGATTCTAGCACTTGAGCTTCTTGAGTAACTGGAATTAGAAGCACACAACCACCATACCTGGTTTCTGTGTTTCTTTCTCATTATCTAATATTTTTTATCAGTTGATGATGGCTCTTTATTTTATTTATTTATTTACTTACTTACATGTGGTGCTGCAAATTGAGCCCAGTGCCTCATACATGCTAGGCAAGAGCTGTACCACTGATCTATAACCCAATCCCTCTATGTTTCTTTTTTGTTTTTTTAAAGATTTTTTTAGTTATAGTTGGACACAATACCTTTATTTTATTTATTTATTTTTATCTGGTGCTGAACCAGTGCCTTATACGAGCTAGGTGAGCAATCTACCGCTGAGCCACAACCCAGGCCCCCCCCCCCCCCCGCGCCCTGTGTTTCTTTTATAGCTTTCTCCACAGATTTGTTCTGTTTTCTCTCCTTTTGTGCTGAGGGGCTTTCTTACCAGCTTTTAGGAGCACACTCTATAATTAGAGTTGCTCTAATTTTATTTCTAGGCTACTGAAACTGCTACTTTTATTTGGTACAGTTGTTTCCTGCTTACCCACAAAGAATATATTCCAAGACTCTCAGTGGGCACCTGAAACGATGGATAGTACTATATATATACTGTATTTTTTCGTATTCATGCATACCTATAGTGAAGTCTAATTTATAAAATCAGGCACAGTGTGATGATGATAATAGTAGAATAATTACAATAACATACTGTATTAAAATTTCCAGCATTACTACTTTTATGCTTTGGGGTCATCATTAAGTAAAATATGGTTACTTGAATGTAACCCCTTTGAAAACCATGATAATCTAATAGTCGAGGTGACTATTAAGTGACTAACAAACAGTACTGTGTAAAGTACAGACACACTGGACAAAGGGATGTTTCACACTCTGGGCAGGATGGAAAAGGATAGTACAAGATTTCATCATGCTACTTAGAAGAGCTCAGAATTTAGACCTCATGAATTGTTTATTTGGGGAATTTTCTATTTAGTATTTTCAGACCACATTTTACTGTGAGTACTGAGGTTGAAGAAAGTGAAACCACAGTTAAAGAAGGACTGCTATACTGAAAGAATATGTACTGAAATGTACACAAAAATATCCATGAAGACACGTGTATACCAAATGAATGACAGTCTTTCTGGGCTTGTTCAAAACTCAAGCCTAAACCGCTGGACAGAGTGTGACAGTGTGGGGATGTGAAGTTATGAATGTGTACAGAAACTTAGAGGAAACACCACAAACTCTGATAGGCTGGGAGCCAGTCATAGTTAAGAATGAAGACACCTTTAATCCTAGATCCCTGGGGGGCTGAGGCAAGAAGATTGCAAGTTTGAGACCAGTCTGGGCAAAATAACGAGACCCCATTAAAAAAAAAAAAAAGGCAGCTGTGTTGCCTCTCAGAATACTCATAGAATAACACCTTGAGAGGGCATTTATAGAAGCATAAAGATGCTCTCCTTCTAGTCCAAGTATGTCTCTGGAAAGAAGCCTGAGTGTTCCAGAAGTTCAAGGTGTATTTCAGGATAGTTTGTTTTCCTAAGAAACTTTCCAGTGTATTTTTGCCATGTGTTTTAAAGCAGTATTTTGTGGCCTGTATCTTAGGGAACTCTCCTTGAAGGTGTTGGGCTGGAAACTGCTACAACTCTGGTTTCTCATTTGATACAGGCTTGTATGACTGTCTATGATATTCCTGATTTGCTGGGAGGAAGAGGGTGCTTAGGATCTGTGGTCTTCTCAGAATCATTTTTGACATCTCAGATCTTAGTTAAAGAAAAGGGTAAGTATATGTGGTCTTTATAAAGCAAACATTGAAAAAAATTTTTTTTGACAAAGTAAGCCATAAAACTAAGGCATAAGACCAATATAAATTGATGAAAATTTTAAAAATAAGCCAATGGTGTATATTCAAACTTATGAAGAGCTCTTGTAAACTAATAAGAAAAAGATATGCTTCCCAATGGGGAAATGGGCAAAAAGTATGAACAGACTATTCACAGAAGTGAAACACAAAAAAAAAGTGTGTGGGGGGGATTTATATAAATAAAGATATACAGCCTCAGTAATAATCAAGTGGAAGCAATTTGAAACAGTTATTAGGCACTGTTTTTTTTTACCCATTATTTTGGCAAAAAATATTAAAGAATGATAATATCCAACGCTGATAGGACAATCCTGATAGTGTTCTGTTTGGTTTAAATATGTATATCTATAGTACCTGTACTACCTTGATAAAAATTAAAAGTAAAGATAAAAAGGGCTAATGAAGGATTCTTCATTTAAATGTGTTTCTATTTGTCCTAAAAAAAATACTCAAGTTAATAACATGGAAAAACCTGTCTCTATACACTTATTAGTGTCTCTGTCCCCAGATGAGAAGTTCTCCTTTTCTGAGGGCATCGAACTCTTTATACCAATAAGAGGAACCTTTTCTCCCAAGGGGAAGGGCCTGCAAGGTGGGCTGAGGTGGTTGGAAGTAACTGGAATGTCCATGGTCTTCCTACAGATGGCACTGTTATCACAGAGACCAGCTGCATAGTCCTGACAGCTGCCATACCCAGATTCTGCTCCTGGCTGGTCAGTATCATTCATAGATGAAATTGGACCCAAACATGAAAAATACGGGGAAGACATTTGAGGAGGAGCCTTTTTGTTGGGTCCCTTGTGGGATGTCAGATCCTAAGCTAACCATCATTCAGGAGTAGTAGTTTTATCTCAGCCCTTTCTCGTTATATGAACAAATCTCATTTCTTTAGCTCTCTCATATTCTTAGAACATTTAAAAAGAAAAGAGCTATGTTATATGAATTATTAAATTGTGCAAGGAAGAAATTAATCCCCTCATGTTATGGATGAGGAAACTGAGGATTAGAAGTTGATAATATCCAGGGGATACATTTCACGACCCCCATGGGGAACTGCCTGTCCACAGTTACACAGATTGTGAGAAGTGGACCTGTAGCTCCTTGCTCTGGCCAGAATGATTGCTACTGATTTTTCACAACATCTCTCCAAAACTCTACTGCCTTGGGTCATAGGAAGCATGATAGCAGAGAGTCTGATATTTGATAGTCAAAGGGCCTAAACTTAGAATCTATTTGTATTCTATTTCTACAGTTCTGATATGGACAGGGAAGAACTAAGAGTCATCTTCTAACATGAACATGTTTAAATGAGAACACACTCTGAAAATATTTTAATATATTATCATTTCTTCATCCCTAATAATAATTATTTTTCTTTTGAAGTGACATGTAACTGGAGATTAACACATCCTACCCACAGATCTTAGGCTCATTCGCTGGATCTGAGAATCTCAGTGAGAGAGCCTACTGTGGCCTTGTTCTCTGAGCCCTGATGAATAGTAGCCATTTCTGCCAGCATATCAGGGCCTGAGAGCACTGGACATGGTAGAGGGACTGCCTAGATAGTCTCCTGTAGATATTTGAACACAGGGGGTACTCAGCAGGATTTTGCTCTTGAAGTAGTAAATTGAAAATCTGCATTTCTGTTGGACACAGGTAGAAGATGATGAAGTAAAATTGTCTGAGAAAACCCAGCAAGCAGTGAGGGTAAGCAGCCTTTTTCTAGCATTAGCATCCTGCAAACATTGAATGTAAACAATTCCTGAAGATAACTTAAAATATTTTATTTTACCACTAATCTAAGGGATCTGTAGTTCTTTGTCTTCAATTCCTATTTGTATTCTTCCCCTTCCCAGCAGACATCTGGAAATAACTACTAATAGGGGATGAAATTAGAAGGATTCTTTCTGCCATTTAGACATTTTGGGTTTTTAAAAAGTCTCCCAGTATTAATCATAGCAGATCCTAGATTGACTTAGACATGGAAAGCTGAGATGCCAAAGCTTTAGGCCACTGAGAACCTGAACTCCATTTTCACAGAAGTAAATCCACTGGGAGATGAGCAAGAATTGCAGGCTTTGGTGCCTGGACTCAGAGAGGACCTTTACATTTCTTTTCTCAGCACCAATCAAGTATGGCAGCCAGGCACACTGGTATACACTTATAATTCCAATGACAAAAGGATTACAGATTTGAGGCAAGCCTCAGCAATTCAGTGGGATTCTATCTCAAAGTAGAAAATAAAAAGGGATGGGGATGTAGCTAGGTTATAGAGTGCCCCAATACCCCACCCCCCAAAAAATAGATGCCAGTAATATGCCAAAAAGAGCAAATGCCAAAGATAATGGAAGAAATTGGGTATGTCTGAGTTTGACTCTGTTTTTTTACACAGACAATATTTGGCAGGATTTTTTATTCTGTATGTATTACAAATCATCTATGTTTTTGCTTTGTTGTTCTTTAAAGGGAGATGAGTGTTTCCTGGGCACTTTTCTAACAGGAGGAGAAGGAGCATATCTTTATTCCAGCAATTTACAGTCCTGGCCTGAAGAAGGTAAGCAGCTATGGCTTTTTTGTTCTTGGCTTGTCTGGATCCCTAGTTTGCGGATATTAGCATGGGTATTATGATTAATAATACATCTGCTGTTTGAAAAGGCTTGTTGGAGTTGCAGTGTCTTCTTACAGCTTTTCTCCTTTGATCCACTCACTTATAGATGAGGAAACCTGTGCTGGTTTCACAAGTACACTTGTCCCAGGACTGCACCTGGTTCTCTTGTTGCCATCTGACGTTTCTCTCAGAATGGGTTAGAGCAGCAGCATTTCAGAAATAGAATTTGTAGACCTAAACAAAATCTGGATTAGTTTTCTACAGCTGTATAACAAAATTACCACTAATTTAGTAGCTTAAAACAACACCTACTTATTATCTACAGTTCTGTAGATTAGAAATTGAGGCAAGTTTAGCTGGATCCAGGTCTCATTAGGCTGAAGTCAAAGATCTGCCAGGCTAGGTTCTCATCTAGAGACTCTAGGGAAGAATCGACTCCCAAACTCATCAAAGTGTTTGGTCCACAGTTCCCTCTACTGTAGGACTAAGGTCTCCATTTTGTTGCTGGTTGCCATCCAGGGACTGTTTTCAGCACCTCTTCCCAGAGGTCTTTGCCCTGGGACCATTTCTATCTCAGCAACCAGAACCAACCTTGAAACTCTCATATCATTCTACCCTCTGGCCCTCAAGATTCATATCCCTCCCTCATGTAAAATATAGTTACCTCCTTTTAAGGATCTTATCCCAATATAGCAATAGTTCAAAGTCCCAAATCTCATGGACTCAGATATCCCAAATCTCATCATTGAGATCATCTGAACCCCTTATAGACAAGGCTCAGGAGTGTAGTGTATCAAGTATAGTTTCTAAATTCAGATCATCTCCCTGTCTATGGACCTATGAAACTGAAGAGACAGGTTATTTGCCCCCAGCTCTCCCAACATAGAAGTGCAACTGGTAAGTGTTAACAATTATAGACTTCAGATTCCAGAAAGGGAGAACATAGAAGGTGAAAAGGCAGCCCTAAAATCCTGGTAACAACTCCATTTTCTTGGTTAAAGTTGAGGTCTGGGAATTATCTCCTGCAGCTCTCAGCTTTACCCTTTGGGCTCTTTGTTCTATTCTCTGAGCACATGGTTTTGCCCTCTGGGTTCTTGGTTCAGCCCTCTTCCTTTCCCATGAAAAAGAGTAGTTCCTTAATTAGAACTGAAGGCCTGGGAATAATTCTCGATGGCTTCAGCTCTTCTCCTTTGGTTCTTGGTTCTACCCTCTGAGCTCTTGGTTTCCCTCTGGTTCATGGTTTGTGACTTATGGCTGTGAACTCAGATTTTCATATCTCTGTGAAAGGTAGCACCCTGTTTGTGGGTAAATAGTTTTGTCAGCCTGCTTCTTGAAGTAGATTTCTCAGAGTTCAGCAGCTTCTTTTCATTTTTCTCTTTTCTGTCTCTTTCAGTCCAAGCTGGTAATATTTCTACTGATAATAAATTTCTCAAGAACGTTTTTTTGTCTTGCATGGATTTCATGGAGATTTACTCCAGGTTCCTTTTTGGCTTCTTCAGAATACTTCATGTGTGTATGTGGTCCTGGGGATGGAACCCTGGACCTCATGCTTATAGGCAAGTGAGCTACATCCCCAGGCACCAAGTAACATTTTATTGCAAGTCCTATTATTTCCCTGTTGAATATAGTCTTTTTGTTAAGGAAGAGTTCTGATTTCACAAATTTCTCAACCTCTACTGAGCAAATCCCCTTTCTTGATGATTTGTTCTTCTTGTTGAAAATATTCTATGTGGTGGCAAATTCCTCTCCCTGTTCTCAGATCACTGGTTTGGCGCCTCCATTCATGTAGAAGACAAAGCGCAAGGAGTTCTGGTTTTCAGACCACAAAGTGCTGAGGTGGTTGTAGCATCTATTACATGCCTGTGTCATGATGGGCCTTTCATTTCTGCATTTCCAGGTCCTGGTGCAGAAGACGTGGGATTTAGAAAGATTTGTGGAAGTCACTCAGTGTGTGTCAGTGCTACCAGCTGTGGAGCAAGATCACATAGTGTTTAAAAACAGATTGTAGGCACAACATAGAGTTGGTTGTACACTGTCACCCTTGAGCCAGTTATAGTATTTAACAAAGACACTTGCCCAAATTAGATTGCGGCTTCTTAGCAGAGGGCCTTATTAGAAAACAAATCCTGCATTTTATTGATATCCAGCAAGGTTCAGTATATCCTAGGTCTCTGTTAGAGGATAAAAGACACAGCCAGTGATTTCTGGGACCTTGTCAGTCACATTCTTTCAAGAGCTTAGATTTCAAACTTTTTTAGTTCCTGAGGGAAATCTAGTTTTCTGAGACAGGAAAATTCAATAGAAGTAAAAAATTTAAACAGGAGGCTGTATGTTAAGCATTTTACCACTTCAGGGTTTAGGACAGGGATTAACTGGGTTTGTGGGGCTTGAAGTAAACATTTCAGGGATCTCTTATAAGAAAACAGTGTAAAATGGGTAGGACTTTTCTCAGGTCTTGGAATGGAGCTTCTCAGGTAAATGGTCCTGAAGCTCAAGTATCGTTATAAGTATCTTGATAAATCTGCCTCTAGCTGAAACTGGATGAGTTTGAAATTTCTGTCTTTTTCAACCCTTGAAAAATATTTGTTTTGAGCATTCAAATCCTGAGCCTCATAGAAGGCAAAAACTTGACTAAGTTTGTAGTGCAAGTTAATGGCAGCATCTATAGGATTGTCCATGTCTCAAGGATAGTTCAGGCTTTCTGACTTTTGTCCACTGGACTACTTGGTGGTGAAAATAGTGCTTCCTTTGCATTGAAATGCTTCCAGCTCTGGAACCTTTTCCTTTTCCCAGCTAGTGGCTTCTGCTATCATGAGACTTCTTGTTATTCAGCTTCCCATTCGTTCATGTCCTTCATGTGCCCTTCTCTTCCCACCCTGCTGACTGTGGCCAGGCAGGCTGCTCAGTACCTAGTCCTTAAAAATTTGCTTTAGAGTTTTACCACATATGCCTATATCCCTAAACAAAGTCCTGTTTTTGACCTTGAACCAGATAGAATCATACTGTGTGTGTTCTTGTTCTTCTGGGGCTTGCTTTTTTTTTTTCTCAATTTTATGTTCCTAAGATTCATACAGATTTTTGTGATATTTATTTGGGAATAGTACAGCATTGCAATGGGAATTCACATGCTATAGTAAACTACGGGTATATTCAGAGTGGCTGTGGCAAGAGGAAGTTTTTAAAGAAAAAAAAAATGGGTAGGATTACATCAGATATTTTGAAACAGTCTTTGGCCACATTGATTAATAACAAGTGGCATCAGTCTAAGGTTGAACAGATGGTTGCTGGGCAGATATTCTTGGAGGAGTGTTTTGTGTATGGCTGTGGTGGCCTCTGTGGAAGCTTGTGGTTCTAGCAGTCTTTTGTGGTAGTTACTATCAGGCAATCATGAGCAAGAACTCTTCCTTCCATAACTTCTCAGCTTTATTTACTTTTTTTTTTTTTTGGTTATGTTGATATAAGTGACTCCATTTTGATTTCTGACAACTTTCACGTCTCTTTCTCAGTTGTATGTAGCCATATAACTCATTCAACATGGCTCTGTAGTATTCCTTGGTATGAAGATTAGCTACTTACCATTTTTACTCTTGATGTAACATTTGGATTATTTTTAGTTTTTTGCTGTTGCAGACAGTACTGTTATTGAACATTCTTATACATATTTCTTGGTTCACTTGGGTAAAGTTTTCTTCAGAATTGGAATGGGGAAGAGTAGATTGAGATTTTAGGATGAGCCCATGCATAGCTTTTATCAATGAAGTCAGAGTGATTGTACCAAGTTATACTTCTACCAGCAGCATATAATTGTTTCTGTTTTTCAACATTCTGGCATACTTGTTTTGCTGGTGTTTGCCATTGCAGTGAGTGTATAATGCTATATCATTAGGACTTTAATTTTTATTTCTCTGGTTATTAGTGAAAGCTGACCATATTTTATTTATTGGCCTATTATACTTCCCTTTTGTAACATGTTTGTTTTTGTCTTTTGCTCATTCATTTGTGGTGTTTTTGTTGTTATTTGTCATTGTTATTTTTAAGAATCAAAGTTCTCAGGGCTGGGGTTGTGGCTCAGCAGTAGAGTGCTCACCAAGCACATGCAAGGCCCTGGGTTCCATCCTCAGCACCACATAGAAGTAAATAAAATAAAGGTATTGTGTCCAACTACAACTAAAAAAAAAAAGACCCTGGGTTCAGTTCCCAGTACCACAAAATAACAACAATGAAGTTCTGTATAGCCTAACCTGGTGACACAGTCTTGTAATTCTTGCTACTTGGGAGGCTGAGGCAGGAGCATCACAAGTTTGAGACGAGCCTGGAAAGCTTAGCAAGATCCTGTCTCGAAGGGCTGGGTTATTAATTTTAATGTAGTCAAATAATTCATCTTTTCCTATGTGATTTGTATATTTTGGATCTGTTTAAGAAATATTTCATCTCCTATGATAATTTTTTCAGAATCCACTTAGATTGATCTTTGAAATGATATGACATAGGAATTTATTCTTTTGTAAATGTAGAAAAGCACTTGTCCAAGCAACAGTTGTTGAAAAGTCATTCTTTTACCACTGATCTGCAATGCCAGCAACTGTTATAAATCAGATCACTTTATGTGTGCTCCTATTAATAGGATTTCTGTTCTGTTCCATTATTCAACTTGTCCCTGAGAAAATACCATTCTGTCTAGATTTAGATTTATAATATATTTATATATGGTGTCTAAGTCTGCTGAGACTGCCATAACAAAATATTGTAGACTGGGAGGCTTAAATAACAAATTTATTTCTCACAATTCTGGAAGATGGGTAGTCCAAGATCAAGGTATAGCAATGTAAGTTTTATTCTGAGGACTCTTGTCTTAGCTTATAAGTGACTACAGCTCACTGTGTACAAACATGACTTCTCCTTTATACCCAAAGTTTGAAAAGGAGGGCATGCTCTCTGGTGTTCCT